AAGCATCAAGTTACTTTCTAAAGGTGATTTACTCTATTTTGATCTCTACTGTAGACATCAGTGTTTATATCTGAACTATAATCTTTTATCCCAGTGCTTCTGTGATCATATGAATGATTGTAAGACAGAAATAATGAAACTGTGTGGTTGAAAAGGCTGTTTGTGAAGCTGTTTCATATCTACACATGACACCGGCTCTCTCAGGATCAGAACGCAGATCTGAATGTTCGCTGTGATTTTCTCAGAGGTTTAATAGACACAGGAGAATCACTGTGATTTAGGAATGAGATCGTGTGAGTGTTTGAATTGAGATCACGATCTTTGAACGATTAATCGTGCAGCTCTAGCGTTTATTAACCCTCATGACGTCTAAACCAGAATGACTTTCTTTATTCCACAGAACAGAATAAAAATAGATCTTAGGAAGAACGTCCGAGCTTCTGTTTTCACCTTTACTTTCATTGTGTGGAAGAAAGAGTCATCCAGGGGCCGGTTTCACAAAGAGAGACTTCGACTACGGCTTAGATATAGTAGAGAGTCAGACTTCAGATAGACGTCTACATCACACCGTTGCACAAAGCTCTGAAGACTCTGACTATCTGAAGTAGGACTACACTGCAGTGCATTCTGGGTAAAATAAGACACTTTTCAAAACAAAAAACATGGCGGATGGAGTAAGCGCATTCAGCCGCTCGGTGCAGTTTACCCCAGCGGGAGATGTGTGTGTGTTGGAGGAGTGTAACAGTCACAAGGACATTTTACTGGGGAGATTTAGCGGAGAATGTAGAAACAAGAAGAAATGTTTCATTTGGACAAAGATTGACAGTTAACAGCGTTAATCCGACCGCTGAGCGGAGCGTTACAGACGTACAGAAAAGATACAAAAACATGGTAAAAAAGAAATATTTAAGAGGAAATATCCAAAAACAGGAGGAGGACCCCAAGAGAAACTTAAAGACACTGAAATGGTGATGAATATATATGTGGACAGGCGCCTGTGTTTTCTTTCGGCTGTTTGTAGTGTAACTGATTGTTACTGCTGGTTGCCACGGTAACAGAGTCTTAGACCTGAGTTAGCCTGGGGGAAAGGTGTCTAATTTTATTGGTCTAAATTAAGTCAGTCTTTATCTTTGTGAAACAGTCTAACTTGCATTAGACTAGTCTAAGAGCAAATTATAGACTTGTCTAACACTATAGACCGGTCTAAAATAGCTTTGTGAAACCGGCCCAGGTTTGGAACGACACGAGGGCGAGTAATCGATCACAGATCCCGTCAATGGAGAAAAAAAAAGACATGCGTGCGTGACCTCGTGGTGACCTCTCACCTCCAGCTCTGAGGTCATGTCCCAGATGCAGATCTGTCCGTCATGGCAGCCGGTGATGATAGTGGCCAGATCGTCCATCACCAGCAGGCTGGAGATACAGTGGGTGGGAGCATTGCGGCCCCACAGAACTATGGGTAATACCAGACTGTTTCCTGACATGTTTTCTGCGATGCTGCAAAAGAAAACAGTGATCAGACACAGCCAATACATCTTCTTTCTTTCTTTCTTTCTTTCTTTCTTTCTTTCTTTCTTTCTTTCTTTCTTTCTTTCTAACTATTCTTTCTAACTATTATTTCTTTCTTTCCAACTATTCTTTCTTTCCAACTATTCTTTCTTTCCAACTATTCTTTCTTTCCAACTATTCTTTCTTTCTAACTATTCTTTCTTTCTTACTATTCTGTCTTTCTATCTTTCTAACTATTCTTTCTTTCTTTCTAACTATTCTTTCTTTCTTTCCAACTATTCTTTCTTTCTTTCTAACTTTTCTTTCTTTCTTTCCAACTATTCTTTCTAACTATTCTTTCTTTCTAACTATTCTTACTTTCTTTCTAACTTTTCTTTCTTTCTTTCTTTCTAACTATTCTTTCTTTCTTTCTTTCTAACTATTCTTTCTTTCTAACTTTTCTTTCTTTCTTTCTTTCTAATTTTTCTTTCTTTCTTTCTTTCTAACTTTTCTTTCTTTCTAACTTTTCTTTCTTTCTTTTTTCTTTCTAACTATTCTTTCTTTCCAACTTTTCTTTATTTCTTTCTAACTATTCTTTCTTTCTTTCCAACTTTTCTTTCTTTGTTTCTAACTAATCTTTCTTTCTTTTTTCTTTCTAACTAATCTTTCTTTCTTTCTTTCTTCGTTTCTAACTAATCTTTCTTTTTTTTCCAAACTTTAAACTATTAAAAACTTTAAACTACTTTAAACTTCTTCAAACTTTCTGGTCCAAACTTTTACAAGCCAACTTAAAGTTTGTCTCGACTAACTTTTTAATCTCGAAAAACACACAAGAAAGGAACTACTAGAGAACGAAGCCCAGGTGAAAATAAAAGGCCTGGTCAAACTAAGAGGAGTAGAAATTAAAATTATCAAAATAATTATTTTAATATATAATATCATTGTTTTATAAGTCCTATTACTTTAACAATAAAACTTCATAAACAACATCTTTTAACAATTTTTTTTTTTTACAACAATACATTTTAAAAAGATATATCAATTTATATAAACTCTTTCAGTTAATAAAAGTGATCATTTAAAGCAGGATAATCCAGAATAGCCTTTATAGTCAATGCATTCTTACAAAAATTACATTCTTTTCAATAAATTATAGCAGGCAACAGTTTTATTCAAACATTTAATTAAGGACATTTAAAAAGAAATAGTAGATTTTCTGTCAAATATCAAACTGAAAGAGTTTATATAATTGCTATGTCTTTGTAAAATGTTGTAAAGAAAATGTTTCATTTATAATGGGTTTCTGATATTTATGATAAAATAACTTATTTATGACACTCGTAGGATATGTTTGGACTGGAGTAGCACACTACTAGCATACTATTAATACTATTCCTGCAGTATGAGCATCTATATAACATCAGTATAGAAATACTATAGAGTAAACGACATATAAGGACAGAGAGCATGTTTCTAACTAGAGCAAACGAACAGATCATTAGAGTTTCACTGGGATTCAGTCATGATTGACAAACATCACAGATTAACCTCAAACTGACATTAAAATCAATATCCATCACTTAAACAGTTGCCAAGTTCACATGAATGATGATGGGTTCAACAGACAATAACATCTGACCTCTATGTGATATTAAATTGGTGTACAATTGTAGATTGAACTGGTAATTAAAATCACACCAGAATAAAATCGAAGCAGAATTCAGACACAGTGTGCTTGTTATGTAACGTTATGCTACTATTGAACACTTAAATAAGTGCTAGCTAGTCCAATAAAACACGACAAAACAAGCTTTTAACATTCACCATGGCTGCTAGTTTCTGCTTTCATTATGGAAATGAAACCAGATTTATTCAGATATACATAACCGTAACCCAAGATCATTTGTATAATATAAGCGATATTTAAAAGACAAGAAACTGTTTTATAAAACATTTCAGAGTTAAATGACAGCATTGTTCAATGAACACAGATTTACTTCAATTGTTCTGTCCAATATTGCAATATATAATGCAGATCATTAAAATGATGATGAATTAAAACACACACACACACGTATATAAAACTGACTCGCTTTACCTGACATGCTTGCGTCTCCTCAAATTAAACCTGAGTCGGCGAAACACGTGTTTAATTTTCACTACATGAACCAACTTCATCCTGAAACTATTCCTCTGCCGATTTAGAAAGAATAATGTGTTTTCCTGACGCTGCCGTCGCTCTCGGTCTGTCTGACACACACTCACAACAGCAGACGAATCAAACCAAACCCTCTCAAAGTAATCAATGAACGGCACAACACAACCAATGAATTCACAAGCTTTCTGATCCTTCTGAAAGTCAACAACACAACAGAACATCACTAGACTAATGTACTGAGATATCAGCCAAACATCAGCTGAGTTTAAGATTATATGGATTTAACAGCAGTGTGTCTCTTCTTAAATCTGTCCAGTAAGCATCTGTTTTTAAACACTTTTAGTGAAATTTGAGTAAAATGTCACATGCCATGCTAGCATGATGTAATGCTTTTTAACATATGACCTGTCGTACACAATAAAACCCTTATAAAGGTGATGACTATAATAATAAACAAAACAAACTGCTGCTAAGAATGCAAATCCATTATAAAAACATATAAAATATGACCATGTCCCAGAAAAACAAATTCTGATAAGTGACATTAATATCATGGGCTGCTATAATGACATCTATCATAAAAGTTTGTAAACATAAATCATGTGTGTGTGTACACATACACACACATATTTATATATATATATATATATATATATATATATATATACACACACACACACACACACACACACACACACACACACACACACACACACACACACATAATTACTGTATGGATCAAAGATGCATTGTGGGACTATCCAATGTTGGACTGACCAATCAATGGCAGATTAGGAAACATGTTTCAAAACAATCATTACTGTTGGAAATTGCTATTTTAATTAGTGGCACAGAAATGACACGTAATCTTTTAATGAAGAGTTTAAAATGAAACCATATGTTCATGTCTGTCAGCACACTGACCATCAGCTGCGTATATTATTCATTTATTTGAATTGAAATCACCTGACTGTAAATTTGGATCTGCAAATAAACGCCATACATGTTTATGCTGTACGTGTATATTCTGTGTGTACAGTCAGTGTGTTTGAAGATATATTAGTATAAAAACACGAATATGTGTAGCTAGCTATATGTTTGTGTATGATATATGTTTGTGTAGTGTTTGTGGACATACATATGGATTATGTTCTCTTGATTGTGAGTTCATTGTGCATATGAATGAACTGTAAATGATGTCAGTGTGTATGTTTGTGTAGACATGTCGTGTGTATATTGACCTCTGGCCCGTTCATCAGTGTGTTTATCATCATTATTATACGACCGCGTCACTATCAGTGTCCGGTTGTGTGATGAATTGAATGTCGGTGTGTGTTTTACTCACCGGAGCAGGACTTTATCGTCTCATGTTCGTTATGTCGTTTATTTTATGAAAATATCGCAGCGACGAGCGTTGATTCCGCAGCGGCTCGCTGATCAGCTGACAGGAGCACGCTCGTGCGTGATTGCGTCACGCGGTGACGTCACGGTCTCCGCCGTGTCTGTTTGCTACGCCTACAGGAAGACTTCACTTTACACTAAAGCTAAACTGAGAAACGACGAAATTATTGTGTTCCTCTACTCTAGTCTACACATTTTACACATTTAACAGCGTATTATAATACTGTAAACATGAGAATATATTTAAATCAGAATACATATTATTCATACATATTTTTATTAATATTTTTGCAAAATTTTAAGGAAATACATTCAGTTTCATACAGAGAAAATGGTTGTATATTTTGTGAAACATCCCAGTTACATCTGAAACAAATTTGTGTCATAGGCAGAGGCGGACAGAGTACAGAGCTTTGTTACTTGAGTAAAAGTACAGATACCCCTTGCTAAATTTTACTCAAGTACAAGTAAAAGTACTACATTCAGATGTCTACTTAAGTAAAAGTACTAAAGTACTTGTTTTTAAAAGTACTTGAGTATCAAGAGTACAAGAGTAGATTTTCTAAATATTGCATTACTACTGCCACAGTGCTTACATTTATGCACAGAAACGTCCTACATGGAGTTATGAAAAATGTTAATGTTAATACCTTGGAGAATGTAAAAGGAATTGAAAGTAAAATCAAGTCATTTTCATCTTTTTACCATGTTGCTTTATTTAATTTAATTAAATTTTTGGGGGGTCCCATCTTTAAATGTGGGGACAACACACACACACACACACACCACATGTAAGGGAGGCGCTGCCAATAAAGCACCTAAAAGCTGTCACAAAGAACCGGCAAAAGGAATGATTATGAATATGTAAAATATAGCAAGGAGATATTTAAATTGTTTATTAATAAACACTTGTTAATAAACAAGTGTTTTCTTTGTCAGTGTCGGCTAAGATGAAGTTGACGATGCTGACTCGCGATCTTCAGTAGTGAACGCGCCAGAGAGAAATGCACATTTCATACGGATTACATAAGCAGAGAGCAGTCTGTAGTCTGTTTTCTTTCGTTTTGATTTTTTCTGTTTAAAAGTAGACATGTCTGTGAGAGGCAAGTAGGCTACCTTATACACTGAGTTTCGGTTCATTTATGAGACGAGATCACGTTCACGTGCCGGCGCCTCCGTTTCTTATCTATCGTCTGCTATTTACTTCTTATTTATTAAACCCAGGCAATTGGTTGATGAAACATTGATTAAAATTAAGATACAATTAATGCTAAACGAAATTCCGGTTAAAGAAAGGTTTTGTGTTTTCTGTTTGATGTCTCTGTGAAAGTTTTAAAGCATTTTTTATGCCGCTTTCAGAGCGCTCACGTCCGTAACGGAGAACACGTCCATAACATTGTTTTTTCCTCATAAATGCAAACCCGAAAAATAAAATAAAACAAAATTAATATTTTATGTACTGTGGAGACTGAGCGCCAACCCTTCTTCATTCGCTGGGTAGTAGCCTACTTTGGTTTGCGCAGTGTAATTCGCATAATCAGTAAAAATATATATTTGCCTCCTAAAGTTTTTTTTTTAAGAAATCAGAAATCCCTCGTGGCTACGCCACTGCCACATTTGAACCTGACTGTGTTAAACACACCACATACTCAAGAACATCAAACCAAATGCTTGGCTTACATTAATGTGTAATATAAAATCTGACCATGGAGTTGACTTTGGCGGAAAGCTGAAAGTGATTGCTGATAGGCTGTCCCAATCAGTGGCGCCTGCACAATCCAATCACGTTTGAGAGGGAAACAACAAATTGAGGGTTTCCGAGATTTTTCTTTTTTTTTACTTTTTTTTTTTTTACTCGGATACTCACGGTTATGGATAGAAATGTATTGGAGTAAAGAGTACAATATTTGCCTCTCAAATGTACTTGAGTAAAGTCATGAGTACTCCCCAAAAATGATACTCGAGTAAAGTACAGATCCCTCAAAATTGTACTTAAGTACTGTACTCAAGTAAATGTACTCCATTACTGTCCGGCTCTGGTCATAGGTAATAATTTATAAGATGAAGAACAAATGCGAAATATTAGATCAAATGATGACAGAATCACATGAATAATTTGTAATTAAAGAGATTAATTACATTAATTATTTAAAAATATTTAGTAGGCCTGCAAATGCAAACATCAAAAAGTTCAAACAAAGATAACAGCGTATTGTAGGTTTTTAGATTTACCGAGCCTAAATTTAGACTGTGTTGAGTCAAAAGATCCTGCAGGAGGCGCAAGTGCATCATTAAACCCTGGCCCTAACATGGTGAAGTTTCAACGTTTTTTCCAAATTAATTGAGTGTGCAAAAGTTTTTGAACAGCACATTGCAATATTACTACATTTAGCCTAGCCCTAGCACTAGAAGCAGAACCCCCCTCCCCATTTGCGTACAAATTCGCGCCAATTCGAGTTCTCTCACGTTCAAATCTGTTAACTGTCATTTCTGACTGACATGACAGTGTCAACCGACAACCTAGACTAGAGATATTCACCTCAGGGAAACAAACTATTGTATGTCTAAATATATGGTACGACTTTTGCCTATTTTCTTCAAAACCTTTTGTGTTCAATGATATAAGCGCGAGAGGGACATCTTTATAAGTTTTGTTATTTTGTGTTCAGAAAAAAAAAAAGAACCAAGGTCATCCACTGCTTTAGACAAGAACAACACATGGTGAGTAAAACAATTAACGTTACTTATTTTTAATGTTTTAATGGTTTTTTTTTTAGTAACCTTCTACTGAAACCTATGGAAGTCTGCTATTTCTGCCACATAAGAAAAATTATTCTTTGGTAAATCGTAATTATGACATACTACTACGGCGTAATTATAAAACAAAAAGTCGAAATAATGACTTAAAAGGTCATTATGGCATAGAAATATCTCATTATTTGATCTCCTAATTGAATTTCTACTTTTCGTTTCATAATTTCGACATAAATCAAAATTGACTTTATATTCCATAGTTCTTCTGAATAATACGCCATAATTTCGAATTTTTGTCACAGTTTCGTCTTTTTGTTGTGATAATTATGACTTAGTATGTAATAATTAAGATTTACCAATACGTAGTTTTTCTTTTGTGGTGGAAATGGGAACACCACAAAAGAACCCAGAACATTACTTTCATAGAACCCAGAATATTACTTTAAGAACTGACCCATGAAGAAGCACTCAATATACAGTAGCCTACTTCATTCACATTTTTAATGTCCTTTTACAGAATCACATGTACTTCATAGAAATGTAGGCTATTTCCTAGATTGATGACTAGTAGGCCTAGTCACAACCGTGAGGAAACATAAGGAAATTATTCAGTATGTTCAATATCTTTTAATATTGGATTTTTCTGCTGTTTTCATTGTCGTCCATTAAATGTGAAGCGGGAAAAAAATCATAATTTTGATAAAAAATCTTCTCAATTCATTCTACCCAGTTAAGCACTACTGGAAGATATGGTTTACTGATGATGTATTTAAAAATTCCACCAAATTATTTTTTTCTGAAACTGAAACCATTCAGTTCAATCACAGCAGAACATGCGCACGTCATTGAGGGCCGTGTCGTCTCCGACTCCCTGCGGTTGCTCCACCATCGTCTCGATGCCACATATTCCTTTTCCTCCACACGTCTCACTCCAGTCGCCCCAGATGCCCCACGACATGCCAGATCCTTGCAGTAGTTCTGCATTTCCACTGCAGTTGAACCTGGAGAAAATTCAGCAAGACTACAGTGTCAGTCCTGTTTGGTCAGCTACTGTTCTGTTTATACATTTGTTTAGTTTTGTGAGTGACAACCAGAACTGTCCTTTGGAAGCTTGTTTCCGCCACAGAATAAAAAATAAAAAAGGCAATTGCGACTTTTTATCTAGCAATTCTGACTTTATTTCTCAGAATTGCGAGATATAAAGTCAGAATTGCATTATATAAGTCGCACTTGCGTGTTATAAAGTCAGAATTGCGAGATATAAAGTCAGATTATCGAGATATAAAGTCAGAATTGATTGATATAAAGTCGCAATTGCGTGTTGTAAAGTCAGAATTGCGTGAAATAAAGTCGCAATTGCGTGTTATAAAGTCAGAATTGATTAATATAAAGTCGCAATTGCGTGTTATAAAGTAAGAAATGGATGATATAAAGTCGAAATTGCGTGTTGTAAAGTCAGAATTGTGAGATATAAACTATTCTGAGAGGAAAAAAGTTAGTCTTTTATTTTTCCTTAGAATTGGCCTTATAACTCGCAATTGCGAGTTTATTTCTCACAATTCTGAGAAAAGATGTCAGAATTTCGAGATATAAACTCGCAATTATGTGTTAATTTATAACTTATAAAGTCAGTATTGCGAGATGTTAACTCACAATTGTGAGGAAAAAAAGTCAGAACTGTGAGATAAAAAGTCAAAATTCTGTCTTTTTTTCTCGCAATTGCGACTTTATTTCCACAATTCTGACTTCATATCTCGCAATTGTGAAATAAAAAGTCGCAATTATTATTATTATTATTTTTTTTATTCAGTGGCGGAAACAAGCTTCCATACCTTTGAGACGACTGTCCAGTCCACTGTTAAAAGTTCCCCTGTAGTCAACATTTGTATCCCTTAAAACTCATATTTAATCACCAAAATGACATATTTAAATGTTTTTTCCTTGAAAAAAAATGTCTTCATGCCTTAAAATATCTTGAATGAAACTCGACACGTGGTTCTATGAATATGCAAATAAGCTCCGCCTCCACTCACTCCCTCAGCTCAGAGATCCACTGGTTGACGATCACACGTTGATCTGATTGGTTACAAGGTCGTTTGTGACGTCAGAAACACCAGCGATTTCAAACCGTGTGTTTGAGACTGTCTTTGGTTCACTGCAGTTTTAAGCAGAAAATACTCAGCAATGCTGTCGACTTATGAATTGCACACGGTTTGTCTTAAAGCACATTAAAAACACCACATAGACACATAAACAACATTAATAGCTGGATTTTCACCACAGGGGGACTTTAATAATAAAGGTTCTTTATTGGCATCCATGGTTCCATCAAGAACCTTTAATATCAATGGAAACTTTCCAAACTTTCCATTCGAACCTTGATTTATTTGTAGTGTATTTTGTTGTTAAATAACTCTTGGTCACTTGATATCTGTGTCAGATGAGCCTCATGCAGTGACATGTTTATGCAGCTTGTTATGGAATGCTGTTATGATTCCAAAATAAGTTTTAAATAAAATAAAATCATCACCTGATATTGTTTGCGGCCGTGTCGTCCCAGGTCCCTTGATAGGGTTCCACTCTCAGCTGAAAAGATGTCAGGAATCCTTTCGAGCACCATTTTATATCTGTCCATTTACCCCAGCTGAGGAAAGAATGTGATTAAGGAACATTAATGATTTAACCAGTTATCTGTGAGTTTAGGGGTCCTACGCTTTTTTCCATGTATAACTGTGTGTAATGTTGCTGTTTGAGAATGAAAAAGTAGGCAAAGGGAGTTATTTACTGTTAACTTTTACAGTTCCTCCTGAACCGAAACAATGAGCTTATGCTGCCACGCCATAACTACAGTAATTACGAGATGGCAATGATATTCTACCTGGAGCTGTTCACTTCCTCTGACTAATGCATTTTTATATCAACACTATCAACGCTGAAATGGATCTTCAGCAGTCAGGCTGTACAAAATAGAGCTCTGTAAGTTGTGTACGTTCATTATTATTGTAATGTTAAGGGCTGTGAATTGTCACTGGTCTCACGATTCGATTACAATTATCATGTCAACGATTCGATTCGATATCTCGTAATTTGCATTGCATCCTCACTTTTCAATATTACTGCACATGCCTACATTTTCACCAATGAATACAACCCTTTTTATTTTATATGCTCCAAAAAAGTACACTTCCTACATCTAATAAACATCAAACACAACTTTAAGTCTGAACACAGCAGACAACAGGACTATTTAGAACAAACACTGTAAATACTAAAAGCGCATGAAACAAGTGTAGGCCTACTTAATAATAACGCTCACACACACTCGAATGCACACACACACACACACACACACACTCGCTGGCGCACGTAGCCTACATGCACCCATGCAGCCTCGCAAACACACACACACACTCGCACTTGACTCGTGCACACACACATGCAGCCTCGAACAAATTCACATCATCGCATGCACACACTCACCCATGCACACACACCCGCCTCACCCACGCACACACACCCGCACTCACTCTCGACTCACGCACACACACACGTACTGCACACACACATGCACGCATTTTATGCTAGTGCGAGAATGTGGCGAATGACATCAGAGAAATAGCCAATAATCGATTATGGTCCAATACTGCATTGATGTAGAATCGTCCACGTCCGCATCGCAATGCAACGATTAATTTCAACACCCTTAAATGTTATGTGCTTTGAACATGAGGTTTTTAACGCCATCTCTCGTCTCCTGACAGTTGCTAACTTGCTATTGCTAGCCCCTCCGAAATTGCCTACCCTACCTTTAAGGTGGAAGCTTAATGGTGGTGACATTGAAGTCATGTGATTCAAGTATTATTTAGCTTTTTACTTGTGCCGACTGTATTTAGGCTTCAGTTCATGAAAGTTGTGTTCAATTTTGAAGATTATCATGATGAACAAAACATTAGAAGTGACGGATTTGAAGCGATCTACATTGGCAGCAACATGGCCGACAATACATAGGCAGCTCACTAGGTTTTGCTACAGCTTCTCTGTATTACGTCCAGTTCAAACGCGTCACCTTCCTACGTCGGATTGAACTGTGGCGTAGTCCTCGTACGGGCCCGATGAGTGTTTGGACGGGTCGATGCAGTGAAGGCGAATCCCATTGAGCGCTGTGTTATCACCAACCAGCAGAGATTCCCACATACCTGCCACCTTCAGGAAAACATCAGTTTAGAGCAGAGTGTTTAACTTAAACTAAAACAGAAACTAATAAAACTGACTAAAATACACAACATGTACACGAAAATATAAAGACTTCAAATATTAATAAATACTATGATACTAAATTAACATTGGTTTAGAGCCGGGCAATAGGATATTTTACAAATGCCGTCATTATAAATGATTTGCTACACAGTTTTTGTGAGTATACTGTATGTATGCGGGTAAAGTTGGCTATACGTACAGTATAATAGTTGTCAGTTGAAGTGAGTAAATCATTTTGCGCTTACAGTGTTTGTGTGTCAATTACGCATTTTGGTCATATCGCTCACCGCTGAGCAGTTGAACACATGAGAACTTAATTATAAGTCATGGCATAATACAAAATGCAAAATAACTGAAGAAAATAAGTCTTGTTTTATGAATAATGTATTAAAATTAACTTTTTTTTGTTTAATATCAAGAACTAAAATCTGCCAGTGTGAAAAATAATCAAGCTCGCATCAGTAGCCATGTTTCCATCCACTTGTCAATCGAATTATCTGAAGTTCGGTAAAAAACCTCATGCGAATAAAGCTGGTGAAAGTGTGTTTCCATCAAACGGCTTTAAAGCGGATAAAAATATGTGCGTAATGACGTCACATGCTGTTTTGCGATCAAATTGGTATATCAGGGCCTGAATTTCGTTTTGGAAAATGGGGGGGAAATCCCCCCTTAGATGATTCTCAAGGGAGGGAATTTTTTTTTTTTTGAGGGGGAGAAAGGGGGGGGGGCATTTTTTCCAAACAAAATTATTACATTTATCTTGCCTAAATGTTTGCGCTCATTGCATTTTTACAATGGGGTAATATTGTTGTTAAGAATTTACACATCACAAGGAAGCTTGATTTAAATTGTTTAATTAAATTGAAAAAAGTAGCACAAATAAATACAATAGAATAAAGATACAAATAAAGACAATTAAAGAGAAAAGTTTTGAATAGGTCTAACAATACAGAAACTGAATAAAGTAATCAAATGGAAAATAACACTGGGTAGTATTTTAGTCCTGATTAAATTAAATACATAGGCTATTAATCCTGATTGCTTTAACTTAAAGCTATCTTTTGTTTTGACAACAAAATTAATGACAGACACATATGGCTGCCGTCACTTTAAAGGTGATGATACACAGGGCAACTTTTTGATCAATGTTGTTGGGCAATGTGGCCGTCAACGGGCAACCAGATGAGACACAGGGCCCACGACCGACCTAAATTATCCAGATAGAAATGTATTACCCATTTTTAATGGGAAAAAGCCCAAGCGACAATCGCTCGGCAAGATTGCCCAGCAACATTGCTCAAAAAGTTGTCCTGTGTATCATCACCTTAAGAGCTAGTGCACTGTGTTCATTATACTGGCATGCGTTTTATGTTTATTAAAGACAAAACCGACTATGTTTAGAGTATAGCCTACTCACAAAGACCGAAATTGACAATTTTGCGTGTTAAAGCAATATAATCCGCGAAAAATAGTTACTGGCCAGCTGTTTTTGAGGCGGATTTTCTATGAATGTGCGCATAGAAAATAATCTCTCAGAGAGCGCGCGAGCACTGATTAGTTTAAAATCACTTGAATGTTTAAAATGGACTTAAAAAGACTTCAGTCACGATGCACTGCTGGCCCGATTGTGCAAGTGAATATTCCGGTATGTCCCGACTCCTAAACGCGAGTGTGTATTATCGCCGCAGCGCTTGATGCCTGCCTTGCACAACACATTATGAGAGAAGAGATAGACGCGCGGCACCACTAAACACTCACGCTGTTTGTGAAATTACGTCTGGAAGATTTGTTAAAAGAATGATTTGATTTTATTATCTGTGTGGATTACGATTGTGGGAATTTCCCGCATTATAAATGGGAGACCTGCGGGAATGATTAGAATTATGCGCAATACCCGCGCCGAAATTCGAGCCCTGTATATCGAATTGATTTGAGACATGTAAAGGTGTTTCCATTCATTTTCTCACCGAATTGCACAACATTCAAGCCAACATTTGCGAACAAAGTTTTACTAGGCAAAATGGATCGCACCATAATAACGTTTCCATCCGCGTTTATCGCATAAGCCGTATATCGATCAAGATGAGACCGATCGTATTTCATTTGAGTCGATATTCATGAAATTCAATCGAATTTTACTGTTTCCATAAGGCGTTTTTCATTCGATATCACTTAATGCGGATAAAAACGTGTGGATGGAAACATAGCTAGTGACTCTCAGCCGATCCTCTACCTATAGGAATACGACGCCTATCACTGTTTAGATAAGCTCCTTCAGTATTATCAGCAGCTGTGGCGTTTCTCAGGAGCTCATTACCCTCCTCCCTCCCCAGCTCCTCCTGTCTCAGTCAGGATCTGGCATTCTGATTCTCCTTGAATCAGAATAAATTCTCGAATTATGTTGTACTTTAAAATCTTAAATGAATGATATCTGCATACATTCATGTTGGTTCTCTTCTGTTTACCCTAAGGGGGGTTATTGCTGCTATAGGCTGCATTGAGGCGCGGGGAGTTCTCGCCCAGAACGGAACCAGACCGCCAATCCAAACGGTATGCTAATTGTCAATCGTATTTGACGATAGTGGTCCTGACAGAAATCTAGTTTTTCCTTTGAATTAAGAAAATTTTCTGACCCCATTGGCAGATGTTTTTACTCACTTACTTTTGATACACTTTTCAGAAAACAACACTAAACATATTCAGTAATTTTGCTTCTCCAGTAAACGCATCTTGACGAAGACAAAAATACTGAAGAAGATTTTTTGCAGTGTAATATATTAAGCCAAGAAAGGCAACTTTGGCATTTATTATTGGTTAATATTAAAATTAACCAGTTGTCTACATGACCTAGATAAGATTGCATCAGCCAAAAGACAAATTCATTTTCATAACAACATAATAATTACTTATAACCGCAATAATCGTTCAGGGATTGAGGAAAGTAAATAGAGTCCATTTTGTTTTACCAGCAAAGTTTAAACCACTAAACCTCACATAGTGGTGATAGTTACTGACCTTAAGACTAAACCCTGTGACGTACATTCCAGTCGGACATATTTCCTTCTGCCCCCACGAGCCCCATCTCATCCCGTTATGGACCCTCAGCACTGAACGGACGGGTCTGCTGACCGAGCGCTCGAAGCGTCTTTCTGTGCTCACGTACGGCCCGAAAACAGCCAGCAGAGAAATCACCGTCAGGGGAAGGATTCTGGACATGTTTGATGCCGTCCTGATGTCTTTCAGAGCTGAGTGTGTGTGTGTGTGTGTGTTGGTTCCTCTGTGAAGCTCACTGTGGGACATTGACTTGATCCAAGTCCAACCTGCAAAGCAAATAGAACATCTCTCCTAAACGTTATCAATGTAAATACAGTCAGAATATAAACTGATCCATGGCTCAAGACATTAGATCTTATCAATAGTATGACACACTGGTTCCCGACAGTAACAGACAATGATGCAAAATTGTGGAGCAGGAATACTGAACTCAATTATTCCAGTAAGTGACCTCACCTGCATGTAAACAATGAGAAGATCAGGTCAAATAACGCTGAGACACAAATTTCTATAAAAGCTTAGTTAATTTAAAATGGTGTTTCTTGCCCTTTTGGAAAAATATTACATTTTTGATTAGGGCTGTCACAATGGACTACTTGCTCAACTATGTTCTACTTATTACATCTCGGGACTTTCAGGTAAAAGCGTTCAGCGCACATACAAACATGAGAAGGCAGATTATGTTTTATGGCTGTCAATTTATTAAAGGGGTGGTTGATTATGATTTCAGTTTTTTAACTTTAGTTAGTGTGTAATGTTGCGGTGTGAGCATAAACAACATCTGCAAAGTTACAATGCTCAAAGTTCAAAGCAAATGGAGTTTTCTTTTAAAGAAACCTCTTTTAAAGGACAACTCCGGCGCAAAATGAACCTTTGGTCTAATAAAACATTGGTACCTAGTCAACCGTTCTCTGAGATTTGTTTTCATGATAATCGAATGTAAAGAGTTTTATCTCTAAAAACTGTTTAGCGTATAACGCTAGTAATGGGGGCATCTATTAAGTCAAAAAAAATCGCTAGTTTATACCACTAACAAGACTCAAAATAGCCCCACACTAACACAGTAACATAATGAGGGTCCCTACATGCAAAACGAAGCATTTAGAACTTTGTAAGTGTACAGACCGTTTAATAAGAAGATATTTTATGAAGACAGTCCACTTCGTGTATACAGACAAGAGCCATCTTTGGAAAACAGTCTCGACAAGTCGAACCACGAACGACGTGCTAAGTGAGCTGAACTGTATGAAGTTTAGTGAACTTCTGAACTGTATGAATGGCGTTCGTGGTTTGACTGGTTTGACAATTTACATAAACCCCGCCCCCTGAACACGATTTATAGATTATCAAGACAGAATATGCTAATCAATGACTAGAAGATAACTACACATAAGCTCATAAATCCATCAACTAACCATTCAGAAACGTCCTGTTGCTTCTACATGTTGTCACTTCTTCTTGAGTATCTCCATCTTTTTCTAAAACATAAAAGGCTAAAAGTTTTTGGAATTGTCATGTCTAAAACACTGCCTCGGCAAACGCGAGATTCCAGCCACAGAATCTTTATTGCTGAGTAGGTCCGTAATCTACGCGCTGTCTCGCCAAACGCGAGATCCGAGGCACTAGATTCTATATTGCAATGCAGCCTTTATTTGGGACAATTCTTATAGGACAAACAACACCAAATATGACAAACAGTTTGACACAGAGCGCTTGCTGAAGAGCAAAAAGCTGACATCTCATGTGTGCCGGCGTCCTTTATAGCTTCTGTGTATGCCGTCACACATTACGTCATGACGCAACACCAATCAAGATTGGCTTAGTTTCATTCATACTTCAGAGGCGCTACACAGAGGGGCGTTCCCCCCAAAGTGTCATTCGACGCAGTTCGAGTTCCCTCGAAAGGGAACTCAAAGTCACCGTGGTTTTGGGTGCAGCCTACGCCAGTTGTACGCTGGAAATTTGGTGTACGCACTTTTGATAAATGAGGGCCAATGTGCGCCATTTCATTAGATTTGTAAAGTAAATTATTTATAAGCTTATATGCCAACAGGAGAACACACCAAATCTTTCTAAATATGCGAACTGTTGATCGCGATTTCAAAATTAAAGTTTAAACCCCCGCTCTGAGTTTGCATGTTTTTAATGTCCACAAACATGGTCTTATTCAAGAAATGACAGTGGCTGTGTTATAATAGATCATGCACATCAGTTGATTGTTTATATAATGTATTTTAACAGTGTTGTTCAATAAAACCATATGATTACTTGCTTTTGATACTTTATTTGAATCAAATATTATAGCCTCATTGGTATAATATATGTATTTTAAAGGGATACTTCACCTCTGGAAAGATGAATCTGTATTTAAAATGGGTAATTTATGTAGAAGAAATTTGAAGTTATTTTTGAATTTGGAGCTTTCTAGACTAAGAAAAGCCAGAAAATGTATTTTTGGCTTATGTGGATGAAAGACAACAACTCCCAGAATGCACTTTTGCTTCGCTGCCCTAGGAGGCCACGCCTACCGGTTGTAACGCTTTTTAATCAGAATGAACCGGATACCTCGCCTAAACGGTTGTAGTCAGGTGTAACGTTAAGCAAAGACTCAAGACGTAGCTGATATTCCACCGTGGTGATTTATTATCAACGGCGTCCCACGCACATATGGGCATCTCGCAACTCACACCGCTAACAACAACTGCGTTACTAAATAAAAGCGCTCACAGCTCGCGCTTCACATGTCGACTGCCCACACTGTGTGAGGGAGTAACAGAGTACGTACTATCTTAAAGGAGCAGTACCTAATTCTACTTGTTACATGGTAACAGAGTGCAGTAGTTAACCCTCTGGGGTCGGCAATCACGCCGGCGTGATCTGCTCGCTTTTTTTTCTTATCAGTGCAAAAGAGACTCAAAATACTCGGTTTATTTTGATCTTACATTTAAGTGTTATACATCATTAGATCCTGTTAAGTTTCTATTTTTTTTGTGGATACTCACAATAAAAACAAAGTGTTGTGCTTTTCACCAAATAAAGAAAAACAAACATGATGCGAGTTCTGCGTTCTCTCTGTCAGTGAAGTCCATTCTGAAACGCGTCCTAAGATTAACTGTAACTCCGCGATTACTTGTCACACAGGCACGAGAGATTTTTCTTTATGAAGCTTGAATTCTCTTCTTTTAAATGATGTAATTTATATAAAAAACAAATATTCTCAGTTTATGCAATCTGTATGAAAAGAGAGTGCTGTCAGTATTTTTTCCCCCAGCTCATTACACTTCATTACGCGTTAATCTCACACGCCCACGGAGGACGCGCGCTATTCAAACGCAAATGTCGAGGCAAGCCATGACAATGCCCACATCAGCCGTTCCACCGCGGCGGTAAAATGTGGGGTGTATTTGCTGCCTTTTACCGCTAAGAGGCGCTACAATCATAAAAGTGTTCGTTTATTCCGGTTTATTCTCCCTAATGCGTAATCTGCTGCCGCACCGCGGCTGATTCAGAGCGATTGAAAGCTGGTAGCAGATGTATTCAACAAGTGAAACGTAGCTAAAATAATTCATAATCACAATACTGAAATTAGGCTACTGAAATGTAATTGAATAAATAATGAAAACATTTCAACATAAAACATTGCAATAAAAACATTTAGGCTACACCAATGAGGCTTTACAACTTTAACAGCGTACAGACGATAGCTCAGTGGTTAACGCAACAACACGAGTTTCGAGGAGCTTCATTCGACCCGAGATCGAATCTCAATGTAGCATACATGTTGTTAACCGATGTTGTCCTACGTTTATATTTTCCCACCTTGATGCTTAAATAGGTAACTGTTTATAACTGTTTACTTATTTAAAGTCAAGAGTTTTGTTTAATTATCATTACAACATAAATTTGCTACATTCCTGTAGAACCGCAGCCGCTGCACAAACGACAAAAACTGATGAAGGAAGATTGTCAGCCGATTGCATCAGAAAATGAAAATGAAGAAGCTCGTCTTTAGTCTGCTAAATTATTGTGTAATGTAAAAGAACACTAAAATTACTTAAGTTTGAAACCAAGTTCGAACATTTCAAGGTTTAAATAAAGGGTCGGGACAGTTTTTTTTTTATTTAAAACAGGGTTGCATCGGGTTTAGAGTTTATTTCTTTTGCGATGCAAAATAAGAAACACTAGGCTAATCTTATTCTTGCGACAGTTTAAATTTGTATTGCCAAAGAAATTACAGCTAAATTAAACAATTAAAACAGTACAAAACGAAAATTGTCCAAAGAAACATAATTAAATTAAAAACATGCGTTTTTCGTTGTCTCTCTCGCGCTGGATCTCTTTTTAACAAGTTTATTTAGTCTCCCTCGCTGCGCGCACCGGGTCTCTCTCGAAATTAAACATTTCAGGGTAAAAACACATCATACAGCTGATAATACTGTATATGTCGCTGCGTGTCAGCCATACAAATCACGGAAAAAATATTTAACCTTTAATTGTTGCTTCAAAGACACAGCATGCCTTGTTGAATTCACCTTACAATAACTTCAATTGAAATTTTGTGTGAAAAAAACTTTAAATAGGCTACAATAAATAGCCTGGCTATCCGACACTCTCCATATGAAAGAGGAACATTAACACCTTTGTCCAGCAACTGTCCCTCCAACCCCCCACAGGCTATCGGAGTCTGAGGCTGACTTAACACAAAGAGAAGTCGCAATTCACACTTGAATCGCTATTCTAGACAGTGTTGATAATGAAGGAATTAAATTATTTAAGTTACATGTAGCCTAGTGATATTTCTGTCAAGTTTATTACTAAATATTTCATTATTTCAATAATTGATGAAATAAAACTGGTTTGGGACAGCTTTTTCCAAGCAAAACTAAATATAATCTGAAAAAAACGCTTGTTAATTTGTTGTCATGAACAAAATGTTCAACTCAATATTAAAGTCTACAGGGATCTTTGGATCCTTACAACCAGGCATGCAATTTGTGAATTAAGTTTTTATTTTATTTTGTATTATTCAAATAAATATCGAAACACGGTGCTTCGTGGTAATGCTGCTAAATTAAATAACATTTATATAATAATTATGAACTTAAATGAAACAATATCGCAACATTTCGACAAATACATTATTTGATCTGTTTTTACATTTTAATTCAGGGCGATTTAGCCTACATTTAATTAGAGCGAGATTTTCACCCTTGTCTTGTCATTTTCTCATTGGGAGCTGTAATAATGAGAAAAATAAATTAATCTAAATGAACGCTCCGCCGCGTTTGTCGAACACTAACTCACGATGCCAGAATAAAACCCGACTTTAGAAAAATGCATTGGGCCACTCGGCGTGGTGTGCCAAAACACTTAATTATAAACTTCAATATTTCATTCAAAATAATCTCAACACGCTTTGTGAAATTTTGAAAAGCCGTGCATGCATTAGGGCCACTTGAACTAATGAACAACTGAAACGCTGGTTTTGATTTTATTGTTTGTCGTTTAAACGTGCCTGTTGCATATCTCTATTTTATATATTTGATATTGGTGAAGTAGCCTATAGCATTGATTAGCTGTGGAGGGAGGGGTGTGGGGATTAAAATAATTCAGCAGAAGCAGGGATGCTTAGACCAGAAGGAAATCCCAGTCCCCCCTGGCAAATCACACTTTACTTAAAACCATGTTTTTAAAAACTCTAGGTTGTAGGGAACAGACCTCTCTGCCATGTGCGCGCACGGTTTGGAGCACAATATCTGTCTCGCATGCACGCTCGATCTAGATAGATTACGGGATATTTTAACTAATTTGCGGTATAACTAGTCGATCACGAATGGCTCAACAGGTAGATCTATAGATAAACTATATCTTTCAGGAATTTGACCGACCGGGTTGACACTTCAGCGTGAGAAATCGGGGGTGTGGCGTGAGAGCCTGGAATCAAATAAAAAAATATATATAGCCTATATATATAGGCTATATATAATTTATTTTTTTACAGAACTGCTTTTTAAATTACGATTGGTAGCCTATTATTATACAGATGCAAAGTCGTTCTGTTGGATACTATTTTGTTTCTTAGTGTAAAATGGAAATGCATGATAATTGTATTTTATAAATATAAGCAAAAAAACTGTATGGTGTAACAGAGTTTTAGAGCTAGACAAATCTAAATAAATATAAAATTTACAGCAGACCATGTTTGTGCGGGATTTGAACCCGTGTCATCTTGATGATGAAACGTAAGTTCTACCGCTCGGCTATGATTTTTCTCACTGAGAAATACCCAAACGTTTCTTTCTCACATGAGCGAGAAAACGTTTTGTCTTTAGCCTGTGAGTGTAGGCCTATACTTTAGCCTTTTACAGTTTTAAAAGATTATATCTTATATAGATTATACCAACAATTTGTTGTAGGCTTATTTGGAAATTACCATAACTTGTAGTATTTCATCCTCAAGCCCCGTTCACACTACAAGCGACTTTGTCGCTGCATGTCGCCAGTGGCTGGCGATGAGGTCGCTAGTGGGAGTTCCCACTACTGGTTGCCTTTATGAATGACATCCAATGATGTGGAGAAGGATCATACGCGCTCCGCTCCTATTGGTTGTCGCTCCCGTAAGTCGCTCCTCATTTGCATAAAGTTAAACAGATTTCAACTTTGTCGCGTCGCCAGACACGCCCCATCCGGTCGCCAACGGTCGCTGTCGCGCGTGTCGCCGGAAATCGCCAGCTCCCCATTGAAATGAATGGTATCGCGTCGCTTGGTCGCGTGTAGTGTGAACGGGGCATCAGGCTACTGTTAATAGACATTAGCCCCACTAACGTTTTGCTAAATGTCCCTTTGCGCCACCTGGCGGTCATTTCGCGTACGACTATGAAATGCGACTGGTTTATTTTTACCGCGGTGGATGGCTAAAAGGTGTGACTAAAAATGTGCTTTTGGCTTTCATTTATATTTTGATTGTTTGTATATATATATATGTATATATGTGTGTGTGTGTGTGTGTGTATATAAATATTTATTTATTTATATATATATTGTCCTTGCATTCTTTCTTGTGTGACACCCCTGAATGAAAGGCTCATTAGTATGCAGTCTGCTCAGGTGAGAACTGCCTAATTATTCATGAGGGGGTTGGGCCGTTCCGCCCATCCGCATATTGCCTTTGCAAACAAAAAAATGTTTTTCACAATTTAAAACAATCTATTGTTTTATGTGAATAATTAGGCAGAATGATTTTCAGATCAATTTGAAGCAAAAACTCTAGGCGACAACATCCACTAGTCAAAAGTCTTGTGGACAGATATTTAGTATGTTATTTGTGGCCTTATATTAGAAACTTTAGTTTTTAGTTTTTTCAATAACCACGCATAAACAATATTCTCTCAAAAATACAAACATGTACATACATGTTGATAACATATTATGGTAGCCCTGTGTGTGCTATATAGAGTGTAATTTCACCTGTGCCATTAATATGTTTATAAGCAACTGAAAAAAGCACAAATGTCAGAGCATGCCAAAACATCTCAAGGACCCCGAAAACACCACAGACACCAGAGGGTTAAACAACAAGTCTAGGCTACTGCTACTAGTGAGTCTCCGTGATGAGTCTGCCCGGGATTTCGAGATCGTCCAAAATGTGGGAAAAGAGGATGAATGGTAACCCCTACTACTCAGCTTTCTCCTACTAAGCTACTCAGCTTTCTCCACAGAACAAGAGCCTGCTAGCTTAGCTTACAAAAAAGATGTCTGACACTATGTGTACTTTCTGTGAGTGAGATCCCAGCCTCTATGGGCGGGTTGAGAACATGCGGGACAGCTCCTACTACTGACTGTAGTCTTTAGCCTCTGGCCCAAAAATCCTCCGATGACGCAAAATGACGATTTTTGCGTCATCAGAGGATTTTTTCCAGACAAAAAATACATAAATCTCTCGTCTCAGGGGGATATGAGGGTGGAAAGCACGGTAATTTGAAAATACTACAGGTTTTCTACTAATACAAAGCTTAATGCCAAATCCTGAAGTATCCCTTATTTTAAGTCCCTTTAAAGGTGTTTGATGAGGTTTACTACCTCAACAACAACAAAAAAATCAGATTGCTCGATTAATCATCAAAATAATCGACAGATTACCAAAATAATCATTAGTGACAGGCCTATTTTTGATAGAGTTCACTGAAATAAATTAAATATTTATTGTAAAGTGAAGTCTCTTCTTATGCTTTGATGCAAAACTTGCTTTAGAGAAATGAAAGTTCCTGGAAATAGGCCTATTTATTAATTTTTTGATTAGTCAGATCCATACTGTATGTGGAGAAATTACATGAACAAATGAATGAGAAGCAAATGTACATTTAAAAGTAAATGATTTTAATCAGGTCAGTGAGTAATATAAGGACATATTCCTATCTAGACAGGGATGTCAGGCTCAACCATAAACATACATTTTTGCATTCGTGTCCTGTCATGATGAACATTTTTATTAGAATTTAAGGTAAGGTAACAGAGTTGACAGTTGTACAGTTTAATGTAGTATTCCTGTATACCTTTAGCTCAAACAGTAAAGTATGCATTTCATGGATTTGACGCCCAGCAAAAGCATAAACTGAGCGATCAATTACTTTGCATGCAATGTAAGTGCACCTGTATTTGCATCTCCCAAATGCACTAATGTAATGAAACATCTGGTGTAAAGTGTTGTAAAGAACATGAAACGACAAGATGCTTCTTTAATCCTGGTAATAGGTGCCAGATCAAGAGTCTCCATCTAACGCAGGAAAATGAAAACATCAATAATCTACAAGAAAGAACAAAAATTTCAACTTAAAATAATGTTAGCTGTGTCACAAGTGGGATGCACATTATCCCAATTACAAAACTGTTGTACAACACAGTTCATAATAGCTCATTATAGTATGGTGATCAATTATTTTGTATCTTCAATAATCAATAATATTCTCCCTGTTCTTGTGGTCATCCTCTTACACCTGAAAGAAAAACAAACTCAGCTTAGCCAGCACTTCCAACAAACAAACATTGTTATATGTAAAGCTGCCCTACAGTCTGAGTTTTTGATTGCGATCACATCACCTTAATCACAGCAATACATGATCACGTCATTGAGAGCGGTGTCGTCTCCCATTCCCTGTGGCTTTTCTATCCGGGTCTTGATGCCGCAGATTCCTGTTCCCTTACAGGATGGGCTCCAGTGGCCCCAATCGCCCCACTTTGTGCCGTCACCCATCAGTAAAGAACCTTGACTGCATTTGAATCTGAAGAAAATTCAGAAAGGACAATATTGTAATTAGGGCTGTCTCTGTGTAGGAAACTCAGACGTGAAGAGAGTTGGTTGTAATGTCAGCAGGATTCTTTACTGAGAACACGAGCTGTCGGGAGATGCAGTCATACAGTCTGACTAAAGGAACCTTACATGGTGTCTTATAGGCATACAGTGGGCAGTCCTTAAAAGTGCTGACCTTACACACAGCCTTACAGATGACCACTTAATCAAATCAGATCAAAACAATCTTTAGATCGTTTCCGTGTAAACATAGCCTTATAAACTGTTATGGTTACTTTCAATGTAGGCCTACTGTGGTCATTGAGTTGAACAAACGTCACCTAAAATGAGTGTCCGCAATGAGATTTAAAAAAAAAATTATTGACAGGAGAAGGGATATTCTGATGTTTGTGTGCAGAATTTTCCAAACTGAGCTGTTATAAAGACGGCCTTATTTCACCACAGGGTGTCAGTGCTTGTCTAGAAACTAGTGACTGCGACGCTGAAGTCTGTGAGAACAGATGTAGCCTACAAGTCAAGTCAAATATATTTATATAGCGCTTTTCACAATACAGATTGTATCAAAGCTGCTTCACAGTATCAATCAAAACAACTTAACAGTGTTTGTTTATTACTGGAAAAGACATCCAAGTTTGGTAGAGCTGATCAGTGGTGGGTCATTTAGCCTAATTTGAATATCCCCAACCACGAACATTTATTTATTTGGATTACATATTTGAATCATTCTGTGTCATTTTTAATGTCAATCTTTTTTACTATTTACATGTTTATGCCCAACATACTTAATTCATATTCAAAGTAGTTTACTGTCATTCTCCTCTAAGTCTGGCAAAGCGTCATAGACCAATCATTTCCAGAGGAGATACCTAAAACCAATCAGAGCGATGAAGGAGATGACGTAGTGCTTTATCAGTTTTTATTCTGCGTTTATTCTGGGGTGGGGGGATCTGCGTGCGGTGACGCAAAAGTGTGTGAAATTCGATGTACATCGTTACAGGCACCTCGCGAGCATTCAACTATTTTAAAAGCCTGGAATAAAGCACCAACGCACACAAGCAATCCTTTTTATTAGTCAAATTCATTTAAAAATGTAAACTCAATAGGTATGAAATATCAGTAAGAGAAAAACACTGTTAATGAGAAGACGAGCGATTTCTGCTGGTTAGTGGGTGAATATATTATTCAGAATGCACAGTCTGAAAGAAAATATATTTATAGGAATTTCAGCAGGGTCAAGATAATTAATACAGAGATCATTATTCATTGTTTTAATCAATTGGCAGCCATAAAACGTAGTGATAATCTGCATTCTCATGTATCCCAGCAAGCAATAGCCGTCATTTCAACGTCTCGGTTAAATATAGACCCGATATAGTCTGGCTATGTGTAACCCACTTTTAGCCCAAATAACATTTAATCTGGATAAATTTGTTTTTTTCCTAAATAACTTGTGAGATGTATGATATTCCATCATGTAAGCAAAGTCAACTGTGATTCAAGGTGTTTGGTTTGCTTTATTTTACATGTTATATAGGCTATGCGTAGACACGATTTAGCTCGTATTCAGACCCGGCTATTGTAGCCCACTTTTAGTCAAAACTGAGTAATTGTAGTTTTTTGCCAGGCAGTGCATGAAATGGTTGATATTCCATCATGTTCGCATTGGTAATGATATCTGCAAGATTCAATGTGTCATTTCACGACATGGTCGATCTGTAGTCACGATTTAGCTCCGAATTGGACGGGCTATATGCGGTCTACTTTAGCCCACCTGGCGAAATCAAAGCAATCTGGTCTACGTATGGCTTGGCTATAGCCATGATTCATACCAGCGAAATAGTGTAAGAATATTAGTCTTAAAAATGTTTTTGCTCACACAGCTTAATGTTTGCTGCATGTCACACATAAACATGACATTCATACACAATCTACGATATGACTGTCTATCATTTCAAATTAAATCAAATGCAATTGCATTTCTCAACCGCTAGATGGCACAATCGAAACACTACTGAAACATGACTACTGGGACTACTGGCGGCATGGGCGGCATTGCGCGACTAGATCACTTTAACCAGATCTCGCGATAAACATTTCTGCCATTTTCAATTTTATTTTACACGAGGCAGCTGTCGGAGAGCAACGGGTGAGCGACACTGAAAACCTTCAAATGTATTCTTCGATCTTGTAAGTATGCGTGTTATTTTTGTTATGTTCATTGTTTAAATAAGTTAGTTGTTATAATGTGTAGAAACCGTGACATTTTAACATTACCATTGCAGAGTAGGCTACTATTTTTCTGCAACAAGTTAAAGGAGCTGTATGTAAGATTGTGGCCAAAACTGGTACTGCAATCACTTTCAAATGACTGTAGAGTGGTGTATCCCCTCCCTCTCCCCCCTGACTCGAGGTTGCCAGATAGGCTGCAGGATCCAGCAGGAACGTAGTCTGCTCCAAGAAGTGGTAACTAGAGCAGAGCTGGCAACCCGGATGCCGAAACACTACTGACTTCGTGATTGGTAGATAGGTGGAGGGTGGAGCATCAGACCAAAACACAACATGACAACATCAACATCAGTTGAGGGCTGCAACTTCACTTTTTAAATGACAATATCCTGGCCGGACTACTGTTGTCAGTGATATAAGTATTTGAAATGAACATGATTTCTTAATGTCTAGTGACATATCAGGGCCATTTTATGATCAATTGACATAAATTTCTTACATACAGCTCCTTTAACGTTACCTGCACGTGTAATTGCAACTGTGTGCCCTTAATATAAAATGAATCTAAATTCAAGGTGGTAAGCATGAAACTATGAAACTTATCATTACTATTTTATTTGTATTATTAAAGATACCAATATATTTTTGTTTTTAGATTAGAGTAAGAAATAATAGGTTTTGATATAATGCAAATTTTTAAAGTATACTTTACATAAAACTTAACAGCAACATGAAAAGAAATTATAAAACAAAATTCTTTCCTTTCCAATTAATAAAAGGTAGTGGCAAACAGTAAAGTCTTTAAACTTGATTTAAAATAATTAAAATATGCAGCATACATTCAGTTTTCAGTGAATTTGTTTCAGATATATGGTGCATAAAAACTGAATGCTGCTTCTCCATGTTTTGTTTTGACTTTGGGGATATAAAAGTAGCTGGCTACTGTCCCAGGTGACCTGAGAGGTCAGCTCTGGATGGTTCATAATGCATCAGAAGATTAGAAATTTACTTTGGCCTTAATTTAATTATTGATATTAATTTATTAATAATATTGATATAAATTGTCTATATTTAGACATTTTTTCTTAATATCCAGTTCTCCTGTGGTTTCAGCTTAGTATCTATCACAAGGTAGGGCTATTTTCGATTCTGTGATTATTTTAAATTTTTACCTTCTCACAAATTTGTATTTTAATTAGACGCGTTGCTACTTTTATAACAGTAAATTGAATAGTTTGCGCGTCTGAATAGTATTGCAGTCTAAATTGCATAGCACTTAAGTGAGTCACTGGCCAACGGCTAGTTTCGATTTCTCCCATTTTCGGATTATTTGAGGGTGCTGTGTTAACTGCTGGGCAGAGACAGCTGTCCTCACTCAGTAATTTGAGCGTATTATATCTATGTAGTGTGCGCGCTGTCGCGGAAGCGTCAGCGGAAGCGTTTCAGCCTCCTCGTGTGAAGACCGACTCGGGTAAAGACCATCGACTCTACCTGTGCGACTCCACCGAGCAAAGACATCAGCTAAGCACTTAAATATCTACATCTCCCTTTCCTTTCCTACTCTTATCCTATTTCCCTTAAACGACATGTGCTTTCAATACATTCCTGTTGTCTCTCGACAACACTCACTCATCACGTATAGAAGGCAGCGCAATACTGCTAATCTGCGCCCTATTCTCTTATCCTCACACTCACCTCTCACTCTTTCTATGGGTCTATGGAACTGCCAATCAGCAGTCAATAAAGCTGAATTCATTCCAGCCTTTGCTTCTCATTCTACTCTTAATATCTTAGGCTTAACTGAGACCTGGATCCGTCCAGAAGACTCAGCAACCCCTGCTGCTCTCTCTAACAACTTCTCTTTCTCTCACACCCCTCGCCAGTCGGGGAGGGGTGGGGGCACTGGTCTTCTCATTTCTAACAATTGGAAATACTCAACTCTCTCCTCTCTATGCAATCACAACTCATTTGAATATCATGCTATTACACTTACAATTCCCATTAAGATCCAGATTGTAGTCATTTATCGCCCCCCAGGTCAACTGGGAAGCTTTGTAGAGGAGTTGGATGTGCTGCTGTCCTCTTTCCCTCAGGATGGCCCTCCACTGGTAGTCTTTAGTGATTTCAACATTCATCTGAGAAGCCGTATGCTACAGACTTCATCTCTCTCCTAGCCTCATTCGATCTCAGACGGCTCATCACCACAGGTACTCACAAGTCAGGCAACCAACTGGACCTGGTTTACACACGCAACTGCATCACAGACAACATTTTAGTGAAACCTCTCCACGTTTCAGATCATTTCCTCATTACTTTCAATCTACAACTCACTATCCACACTCCACCAACTCCCCTACCAGTTACTTTCAGACGAAACCTGCGCTCACTTTCTCCCTCCCATCTTTCCTCTGCTGTGTCTTCCTCTCTTCCCTCACCCTCAAAATTCTCATCTCTGGATGTGAATACCGCAACGGATACTTTATGCTCCACCTTAACTTCTTCTTTAGACACTATCTGCCCTCTCTCATCCAGGCCAGCGCGCGCCACTCCCTCTAACCCTTGGTTATCTGAGGTTCTTCGTGAACACCGGACCAAACTCAGAGCAGCGGAGAGAAAATGGCGCAAATCGAATGATACATCTGACCTGAGTATGTATCAATCTCTGCTCGCTGCTTTTTCTGTTGATGTTCACGCTGCAAAATCTTCATATTTCCACAACAAGATCAACAGCGCCTCTAACACACGAACGCTTTTCAAGACATTCAACTCTCTCCTCTGTCCACCTCCACCACCACCCACCTCCTCACTAACTGCTGATGACTTTGCTAACTTCTTCACTAACAAAACAACAACTATCAGCAGTCAGTTCTCTAATCCACACACACAGGAACCTGGACCAACCACTCCCACAGCCAATAACATTCTCTCCTCCTTCTCTCCACTAACCGAGGAAGAAGTATCTAAACTTCTCCTCTCCAGTCATCCTACCACCTGCCCTCTAGACCCCATCCCCTCACACCTTCTACAAGCCATCTCTCCCACACTTCTACCTACTCTCACACACATTATCAACTCATCCCTACACACTGGCACTTTTCCTACAGCATTTAAGCAGGCTCGGGTAACTCCACTGCTTAAAGCTGCTGTCCGTAACTTTTTTGGGTTAAAAATTATCCAAAATAATAATAATTAAAAAAAACATAACCAGCCAGTGTTCAAAAATATCTGCTTGCTTTTGCCCGATTCAAAACGGTTAGCTTGTAATAATGATTTTAATTCCAGTGGTACTGGTGGATTTCCGCGGGAAATTCGAGCATGTCTTTGCGTCATTACGTCACATCCGTACACATAAAGAAGGCGTCCCGGCTAGTCGGCTATATTGCGTGAGGATGTTGGAGGTGGACATTTTTAGCCTTTTCTCACAGCATTAAATAATTAAACTTATGGCGGATCCAGAAAGGTTCAAACGACAATCACCAGTGACAACTGGACATTCACCACTTGTAAAACCCCAAATAATTCGGACTTCGGAGTGGGTAACGTTAGAGAAAAAAAGAGACTGCAACTGGCCCACGCGAAAACAAGGATAAACAAGGACGCAGAGACGGCTTTTTTTCTTTTAGGACAGGTAAGACATTTCAATAGTTCAATCGTGTAACAGTAGCACACTTGTTCGCTTAATTCACACAGTTACGGAGTTTCCTGTCTTTATTCGTTTAGCTATTATGGTAAATATTTTGTGCTAGCTATGAGAGGGAGCAATTCACCTCTACTCCAAGCAAACCAAACCGGCCTCCTCCGAAATTATATATAGTTTTAAATATGCATTGGATTACAGATAAGTTTTTTTTCTTTTTTTTTTCTGAAAAAGAAAACCAGTAAAGAAACATTAATTTATTGGTATGACAATTAGAAATTAGACTGCACAGAAATAGAAACTGAACTACAGGGTAATCATAATACACATTAAATGTAGTCACAATGCTGATGTTGATAATTTGAGAACAAAGTATAATTTGAAAGGTTTGACGCGATCGTTATATTTAATCAGCACGATTTACTGCAAGGCTTTCCCCCCTTAGTTGATGTGGATGTTACTTACTTGTTCAGATGACATTTTCCGATGAAAATTCGTATGTTGTCATGGTCATACTGTAGGCCTACTTCCAAAAGTAGAATGTGTGATTCTGAATGCCAGTTTCCACATCGGCGCGGTGACTGACAGACTCGCAGTCTCAAAACATTGTGTTCATCCGCGCTGTTTCATGCCGATGTGCAACTCACGCAAAGTTAATAATTCCGCGAATAACTGCAATTACAGATTTCAAACAGAGATGGCGACAAAGAGGAAAAATGCCGGACTGCAGCTTTAAAAAACCAACATTAAACCCATCACTGTTAGAGAATTACAGACCTATCTCTCTCCTACCATTCATTGCGAAAACACTTGAACGAGTTGCTTTCAACCAAGTATCATCTTTCCTGTCTCTGAACAACCAGCTGGATGTCAACCAATCTGGCTTCAAGAAAGGACATTCAACCGAGACTGCATTGCTGTCAGTCACAGAAGCCCTGCGGATCGCAAAAGCTGCTTCCAAATCATCAGTTCTCATTCTACTGGACCTGTCTGTGCCTTCGACACTGTGAATCATCAGATCCTCTTGTCCGCCCTCTCATCACTGGGCATCACTGGAACTGCCCTCCACTGGTTTGAGTCCTATCTCACAGGTAGGTCCTTCAGGGTCGCATGGAGAGGCGAGGTATCCAAAGCACATCAACTGACCACAGGCGTTCCTCAGGGTTCAGTTCTCGGACCGCTCCTCTTCTCCATTTACACCACATCACTGGGACCCATCATACAGGCACATGGTTTCTCTTACCATTGCTATGCTGATGACACTCAGCTCTACCTCTCATTTCAACCAGATGATCCCACAGTAGCTGCTCGAATCTCAAACTGTCTGGTGGACATCTCAGCATGGATGAAGGAACATCACCTGCAGCTCAACCTGACAAAGACTGAGCTTCTCGTCCTCCCTGCTAATCAGTCTCTACAGCACGACTTCACTATCCAGCTAGATTCTTCCTCAATCACCCCATCAAAGTCGGACAGAAATCTTGGTGTAATCTTTGATGACCAGCTGACCTTCACAGACCACATTACAAAGACAGCTCGATCATGCAGGTTTGCAATGCACAACATCAGGAAGATCAGGCCTTTCCTAACTGAGCATGCAACACAACTTCTCGTCCAGGCCCTGGTTATCTCTAGACTTGATTACTGCAATGCTCTTCTGGCTGGACTTCCATCTTGTGCAACTAAACCCCTACAAATGATCCAGAATGCTGCTGCTCGTCTTATCTTCAACGAGCCCAAAAGGGCCCAGGTCACTCCTCTGTTCATCTCCCTGCACTGGCTACCACTCGCTGCTCGCATCAAGTTCAAGGCATTGACACTTGCTTACAGATTGACCACAGGCTCAGCTCCCTCCTACTTTCACTCGCTCCTACGAGTCTACATCCCTACCAGAAGCCTACGATCGGTCAATGAGCGACGGCTCATGGTACCTTCACAAAGAGCCACAAAATCACTCTCCAGAACATTCTCATTCACGGTTCCATGCTGGAGGAATGATCTCCCCACCCTCATTCGGAATGCAGAATCCCTGACAGCATTTAAAAGACAACTGAAAACTCATCTCTTCCGGGAGCACTTAAAAAAAAATAAAATAAAAAAATAAAAAAATAAACCTTAAATCCTCACTTGTCTGGTTTATGCTACTCTGAGCAATGTTTGAACTTTGTATTTTGAGCACTTCTTGGGTTGTTATTGTCTCTTCACGATGACTCGTTTGGTTAGTCCTCAGATGTAAGTCGCTTTGGATAAAAGCGTCTGCTAAATGACTAAATGTAAATGTATATTGATATAAATTATATAGTCTCAATCTATATTCCATTAACTCTATATTGGCCAGCTCTAGTGTGCATCCTAGCAAAAGTGAATGACTGTAATTAGTTAAAAATTATTGTCAACAATGCTTTTCTTGAGCAATAATTTTTTTCTTTTTCTCATTTGGCAGACGCAGTGATGACCAACTTTCCTTGGGCGACTAAATGGGAAATAAAAAATGCAATTTCTGGTCATTTTAAACAAGCACCAGGGAGAGCAGGGGGTGGTGGTTATGGATATAAAGCTAACAATTAATTCTTAAAAATTTTAGTATCTTAAGTTGTTTTACATATTTTCCTATTTTTTTATTTGTTCATTTTTATGTTTGAATGTTGTCTAAGTTGTTAATATAATTGTTCTAAATAAATCCTTTATATTCAATTAGTTTGGATGGATTTTCATTTATGAGAACCTGTTGTATTTGAGTGAAAATAATCCTTATGCCTCATTTTGTTGTCTATTACATGTATATGTAGTGTAATTGATGACTAGTCTATTCTTGGGCTATGGTTAGACGTCTATTAGATTTTCACTGATAGCCCAAAATTAGCCTTGTTTTAGCCTAGACCCATATTGACTGTCTATTAGACGTATATATGTAGTCGTTTAATTGCTGTCTAATTGATGACTAGTCTATTCTTGGGCTATGGTTAGACGTCTATTAGACGTATATATGTAGTCATTCAATAGCTGTCTATTCTTGGGCTATGTTTAGACGTCTATTAGATTTTCACTGACAGCCCCAAATTAGCCTCGTTTTAGCCTAGACGCCTGGGCTGTGTTTTGACGGCTATTAGACGTCTATTAGACGAAAATTTGTTTGCTGGGATGTATGTGCGCTGAACGCTCTCGAGATGTACTATGTAGAACGCGGAAGTAGTTGTGCAAATCCATTTTAAGTAGGAAAAACATTACATTCAATTGTTTTTTTTTCCCTCTTTGATAATTGCGTAGAGGGTTAAATAGCAAAAAAAACTATTCTTCTTTTACCACCACACACTCACCTGATGTTGTTCACAGACGTATCATCTTCAATTCCTTGGTGAGATTCGACTTTCAGCTGGAAAGATGTCAAGTATCCAGAAGGACACCATTTGAGATCCTTCCACCAGCCCCAGCTGTGGACAAACAGTTTTATTGATCAAATCTATTATTTTTTTCCGAAAATCATTTGTCTAGCTTATGAAGAAGCCACTCCTAACCCTCAATGTGAGAATTCCTAATAACCCCGTACATGCCTATAATTAGTGTGCTCTGAATCAGAGCCCATTACCTTCCTATATTTGACTGAATGGAGGAATAGTACTCATATGGGCGCTGTGAGCTTGTTCGATTGATACAGTGAAGACGAATCCCATTGAGCGCTGTGTTATCAGCCCAGTAACCATCCGAATATGGTTCCACCTTAAAAAAATGACACAAAAACAAAACAAAATGACAATCTTCTACACTGAAAAAAACAATAAGTAAAATTTACTTAATTTTTCTTTGGCAAGTTTTTACACGAATATTTTTTTAGTAAATTTCACACGCATATTTTTTTTTTTACAAATTTCACATATGGAATTAAGTAAACTCTACTTAACTAAGTTAGGTGAAAGTAACAAAGAAAATAAGTAATTTTTACTTGGCTAATTAATGGTTTAATAATATCTAATTGGTTGAAGTTTCCTTTGTAATACATGTCACTCAAACAATATAACATTGAATTAGTCAACACTTTTTACGTAAATGATTTACTTAGAAACATCTAAGTATTTAATACAATAGAAATAGTGTGTCACCATATCTTCATTTTCAGAAGTTACATGTGTGAATGCAGAGACCTCAATACTTAATACTAGACAATACACAATGACGGTAACATTTGATGGATCGTTTTTGTGTTTGAATGTGTCATTTTAAGTAGAAAATGAACTCCAAATGTCACAAAATGGCAAGTTACTAATCCTAACAAAAGCAATGATACAATAGTGTAAATACAGCTGGAAAAATCAACCTCATTAATTATTCAAGGTCCAGTGCATGATGGGAACATCAGAAAAGTTGAGTAATTTTAATTAATTTTATAATGTTGATATTTACATTTTCATTTCTACACGATTGAATTGAGTACTAATATATAATTTACTACTTTTTCTTTTATTCTTGCCTGAACTAACTTTTTCATGTAAATTACATTGATTTTTTTCTGTAGTATTTACTTCACCACAAAATAATTTTTATCAGTGTATTTGAAAGAAAGCCACAGGCAACTTTTTAGAGTTAACTCTAGTAGGCCAACTCATAGTAACATTCATCTTTAGTATTAAGCAGAATAAGCAGGTGTAGTTCCCAGCTATCGACGCTCAGTCACCAGGTCACATGTTTAACCCCAAAGAAACCCCCATATTACTGCAACTTACCCTCAGACTAAACCCTGCGGCGTACGTTCCAGATGGACATATCTCCGCAGAACTCCACCACCCCCAGTCCATTCCATTCGACACCTTCACAGTCTGGAGGCACATTTCGTTTATGTCATTTGGAGCGCAGTGCACCACGAATGGTGTCCTGGGATATCGGTTGATGCTTCGCTCAGAACGTCTTCCAGTGGACTGAACACTCACATGCTGCCCAATAATGGCTAGCAGTGAAAACGCAATGGAAAAGAAGTGATGCATTGCTACAGCACTGATCTGAAAATACGGATGAAATTAATTCTGATGGTTTCTACAACAAAAACTGACCCCAGGTTTCTGAGCATTGAGCCAAAACATTTATATGGTTTATCAATATTCCAGGCCACCCAATCAGCAGCAAGCGATACTGAGCACATGCACGTCAATGACCTATGAACATACAGTATGTTTAGCTGTACGTTTAACCATTAGTTTCTTATCAAGTGTTTTATGTGGCAAAATGCCTATATTGGTTTATAATGATTTGGTCATTATAAGAGTTGAGAAATATTAGGCATGACACAGAGAATATTAGACCAACGTTAAAAATGCCACCAACATCTTTCCCGTCGTAAATATCATGTTTGCAAAGTAGCAATTGTTAAAGGAAAAGATCAGCTAAAAATTATATCTTGCATCATTCACTCACCCCCATTTCTCCCAAGGTTCTCGCACAAGAGGAATTTACGTGTCATAAATGGGATTTTCACACAACTTCTTCAGTCATATGATAATTTGCATGAAGAAATAAATAGGCATAGAACATTCTCATGTAGCAAAAGCATTGTTTATCCAGGCATACTGGCTAATTTTCTTACTGTGAATCAACAACAAAATAATGCTGACTGCTTTTGTTTTACTTGATTAAGTTGTCTAACTATGATGCCACAGTAAGAAGTTATATTCTTCACCACTGTAATTGTTTTTGAGTCACCGTAATGGTGATCAGTGTTCCATTTGCTTGGGATCTTGGACTTTGTATTCATATTCAAATTTCTGATTAGCCAAGTCCGATGTGTGAGAAATCAAAATATTTGTTTAAACAATGACAAGCTAGAATATGAAATTACCTAACTGGCTGATTTGAAGTTAGTCAAAATATATGATGTTGATTAGCCTACATTTTGATGTTATTTTAGGAAGAAGATTTACTGATATCTTATACTGGATCTTTCACAATAGTGAAGCAACTGCTGATAATCTGCAACACAAGACTTTATTTATTACAATCACTATCATCACCTAGTGATGCAAAGACTTCAATGCATCAACACTACAAAACATATATATTATTCAACAAATAATAATAATAATTAAAAACAACTCAAACATAACAAAATAAACCAACAACACAAACTGCTAAAAGTGAAACAAAAATAAGTTCAGCAGTGCACATAAAAACCAAAGTGTATCAAAAAACTCGAGGCTACAGCATAACCTATTAATGCTGCATTGCATGCTGGGTAAATTCACAGTACATATCCACTGTAGAAATACAATACGATATTGTTTGTTAACAGTCATTTTTGGTTTTTCCAGTACTATGAGCTTACAGTAAAACCAAGCTTTTGTACAGTACAATTGTTAAAACTTGACTTAAATTGCCTGTAAAGTACTGTAGATTTTACAATTAATTTCTGTACAATAAAGTGCAGTTAAATCCTACAAGAGAATCCTAAATTACTGTGGAAGTAGTGCAATTATTAACCTGGAATATACTGTAATTTCACATTCAAATTTTTAAGTTACAGAGAGATTAGACGTTAGAATCTGTTGATGTTGTTGTCCTCAAAATTGTCTTGATTTGGTGTCCTGGATATTGATATTTTGTAATGTTTTTTGTTGTTGTTTTTGAAACAGTATGATTACTTTGTGGTAATGCACCTGTTTCGGATATTCATGAACACAAATGTGCTTGTCAGGCCATAAATCCACAAACACTTTTGTCGATGCCACCCCTCATAGTCCTCATGCCACCCTATAAATTATTTTCTAGATCCACCCCTGCATAAACACACTTTAGACAAACACTGATCAGATTTCCAGTAAAAGCATGTGCCCTTTGAAACAGCTTTGCTTAATAGTTTTACTTTTTTTATCCTTGTTTTGCAGTGAGTACTTTGATCTTAAGACATTTAACCTTATTATTTAATTATTATCCTCAAGTTAGGTAAAGTATGTGTAGTCTGGCCTAAATAAGCATTTAAAAAAACTGACAATTCTGTCAGAAGACTGCTCTATGATATGTTCTTGTTCAAAGTCAAGTCACCTTTATTTATTTTACTAAAAAGATAGAAGAGGCTAACGGTAGTATTTCTAAATTGTGGCAACACATAAACTATTTAACCAACCCTCCAAAGAAAAAGTACATTATGATAGATTCCATCAAAGTGGATGGCACTCTTGTTAATAACAATGAGTCAATGGCAAATGTTTTTAATAATTTTTTTATAGACTCTGTACTAGCAAACAAATTTAAAAACAAGGTGACATGTGTTGAAGATGTTAATTTAGCTAATGCAAGCCTTTTTAAAATCCAAGAGGTCTCTTCTGATAAAGTAAAAAAAAAAATCACAAATATGAACAACTCCGCGGCAAAAGACATCCATAACTTAAGTATGATTTTGATTAAAAAACATCAGGACAGTCTGCTTCAACCAATTACATATTAACCTCACCACCTCTACGGTAGACGCTAGCCTTTGGTAAGTGCTGCACAATGTTATAATATCATTTGCCGGACACAAAGAAAAGAAACAAACAAACCAAAGAAACAAAAATGTACAATAAAACTTGGAGGTACAATATGGTTCTTAATTACAATATGGGAAAAGCGGCAATTACACCCTGAAGCACTCAGTTTCTGCAACAAATCACAAACATACTATAAGCACACATAGTAGGAAATAAACTGCACAGATTTCTTTCTATTTGTATAGTCCTTCTCTTGGTCACAAAAAGCCTCTGTTTTTACTCACCGCAATAATTCACCACATTTAACCAGAGAAGACAAACAAATAGCACTGTACCTCCCACATTAATGGATTAAATCATTACATAAAGGAATAGCTACCTTGTACCAATAATCCCCGTTTGCCTACTAGACTTCCCGTTTGAGACCAAGGAGGCTGAGAACGAGGGAAATAGTTCTGTTAAAGTACATCCTCGGTCACCAAGCCTCCTACATTACACACCACAGTCAATCAACGGATGCTTACCGTTCCTGTTTACAGCTGTAAACCGCAATACGTCGCCAGTATAAATGCAAAGCTCTCGTTGCTCCAGCTCACAGCTGAGGACAAGGAGAGAGATGTAAACGTGACTTAATTACATCAGTTCAAAGCATCATACTTGGCACATTGAATGCCGCCGATAATAGGCGCTTACCGTCCCTGCTTTCAGTTGAAAATAATTGGTAATTACCCGGCGATGCGCCGACCAGGACAATCGAAACACTCTTGCCTAACTCCTAACCAGCTGTGCTGGACGCGGAGAACAAAAACTCAGATTCCTCTATGAGCAGCTTGCACTTGACGCGCGCTGACCGGTGTTGTGCCGAATTTCGACTCCCTGCCAAATTATTACCCCCCTCGTTGAAATCAGTACCTGATTGCCTAATCCTAACCCCACCCCTAATCCTAACCCCTCCCCCACAACTAATCCTAAACCTACCATACTAGGGGGGTAATAATTTGGTGGGGGTCAGAATTCGGCACCACACCGGGCCAACCAAACAAACACTTCCTCAACCCTGTGCGCTGCTTTTATCTACTTCCTAGTTCCAATCACACCCTATAGAGGGGTTTCACGACGCGTCATCAATCCGGAAGTCGGCCATTTTGGAGGCACAGAACGTGAATAATGCCACTGAACTGAATGGACTCGCAAATTTGGCTGATTATTGCTGCTGAAAAATGGTCGAGTTTTTGTCTGTACCAATCGGTCACATCGGGAAAAAACATGTCGAGTGCTATAGACTGTCAAAAGTTAAAGAGAAGAGTGCAAAAAACTGATGAAAGAAGGCGTTTGTGGTTGAGAGAGGTACAGCATCAGACACATGTAAATGAAGCGTTGACTATGGCTAAAATGTCGACGCAGTTAATGTTAACTATGGCTACATTCACACTGTCAGTCCAAATCCGATTATCTTTGTATCAAATTGGAATCTGATCTAAAATGATGTCCACACTGTGTATCGAAACTGTTCAGATCCGACGTGTGTGTCCATGCATGTTATTTGGTAATATGGCAATGACTTTGCGTTGATGGAGGGGTTGCATTTGCAATATAATGTTAGATGTTGTCTTTTTTAAATGTTACAACATGGAAATGTGTATAGCCGACGCGCTGGACTACTACGGCAGAACTGTAGGAGGCTGGCATATAACGTTAGCTACTGCTTTTTTCCCACGCTCGTCTGCGCCGGTTTCAGAAATAATATTTTTCTGCTCGTCCGGCACTTTGCAACAACACAGCATTGTTTCGGCAGTGACTTTCAGCATGTTTCCTATAAATTACGTTTGCATTTTAAGACATACCACGCGAAATCCGAGCGTTCAGACTGAGGCTGATGTCCTGATATGTGATTTAAATAGGATTTCAAACCACATATGGATGTAACTTGAAACGAATTTCATGTGCTTTTTTGGACTGACAATCTGAACGTATCTTATTTCGGGATAATAAATAGATGGAAGAATTGCAGTAATGTTACGTGCTAGAGAAGCTAACTCGTTCGGATCTTTAGCAGCTACCACATAATGTGACCACATAAAACATATTAACTTTAGTTTGTCAAAATGTTTCGCTCTGTCCTGGTTCCCAAGTCCTTCTCTATATGATTTCGCACCTACCACGTGTTTTTTCCGTGGTTTATTAGTGTAACAATGTGTTCAGTAGTACATGAACAGTGCAATCCATGCTGTTGTTTACATCCGAGTGCCTCCATAATGGCCGCGCATCCGGGTTACCGCCCAGAACGTGACGTTGGTGAAACCCCTCTATTATAGCACCTGCATGGAAAACTACGCAAAGTAGGTTAGCCTGCAACAAACTCCCTCTGTAGGGAGGGAGTAGGTATCGATAGCCTACTTAATCTGGTTACAATAGATATAATTTTTTTACTTTCGAAAATTTTATACATTGTAGTACTTTGAAATTGGTTTTTAAATGTTTGAACAGTCAT